TGATTCATCACTATTGCCCAAGTACCTGCAAAAGAATTGATCGATATCAATATATAGAATTGATAAGTAAGTTTTAAACTTACCAATTGAAAGCACTTTAGTCCCAATGTCTGATGGGTTCTTATCGGTATGAATTTTTTCAAGACTTACCTCACCTGATGCTATCTTTTCTCTAAAGAAATGATATTTCAGTTGAAAATATTTGGATCTCTCATGATGACAGGATTTTTATTAAGTAACAATGTACTCTAGCTATAATAGGAGAATCATACAAAAAAAATAAAAATCAATTCAATTAAAATGCCTTTCAGCCACAAACATTCTTTTACAAGTTCAATTTCATGTCAACTTCAATTTATTTCCTTTCTTCCTCAGTTTTAGGTGCTTGTACAGTTGACAGATTCATATGTGTAGCAAGAGGGACATGAACTGATTAAGCTTGTTTCATACCAAACTTATTTATTACTTTATCTAAATAGGTTTCTTGTGTAACGGTTAACCTATTTCTATTAATAACCATACATAAAATCTTATTGGCATTCCGTAAATCTTTCATGTCAAATTCAGCTTTAAAAATGCTCTTTAGTCTTATGTCTTTACTTGAACTAGCAAGCAACATTTCATCTACATTCAAAAGCAGATAAACATCACACCCACTTTTAATATTGTTATAGTCTTATAGACTTAAAGTATAGGCAGGCATCATATTTACTTTTTTTTTAAACCAATTTTAAGCACACATAAATCAAATCTCTTACACCACTTTGAGGATTTTGTTTTAGACCATATTTACTTTCCAGTTTGCATAAAAAGTCAGTTTTTCCCTTTACCTCAAAACCTTGAGGTTGACCATATAGATATTTTCCTTCAATTCACCGTGAAGAAAAGTAGTTTTAACATCCAATTGTTCAAATTCCTAATTGAATTGAACAGCTAAGGCTAAAATCAATATAGTTATCTTATATTTAATCATAGGGAAAAATATATCATTATAGTCAATTCTTTCCCTTTGAGTGAATCATTTAACAACTAGCCGGCTTTGTATCTCAAGGGATCAGAAGGACTCTTTCCCTCTTTCAATTTGTAAATCCATTTGTACTGCACTATTCTTTGATCCTTAGGCTTCTTAATCAATTTCCATGTTTTTTTCAATTTACAAATTATTGCCCATTCGTGGATTTTTCAAAAGGAAAAGGTTTCAAATATTCACTGGCTTCACCTAAAACTAGGGCAAAATGAGTCAAGTTCTGAGGCTTATATTTGGGATTTAGTCTAACTGGTCTCATTTCTCTATCTCTAACATGTAGGTAATCCTAGATAGCAGTATCTCCAGTGACGGGGGGTATTGTTTTCAAGTTCATTTTCTTTGTGAGGTTCGTTTGCTTCTTCAATTACTAGTTCAGTTTCATGTCATTCCGATGTTCATTATTCTCAACTTGAGTGAAGTTATACTTAGTTAATTTCACCTCTTTCTAAAATTTGTTTCCATTTTTTGATTTCCCTAATTTATCGTATTTGTGTTTTAGACATGACATTTCAGGTTCATTAAACACAACATCTCTACTATTAATGATCTTTATGCCCTGTACCCCTAAAACCCATAACCTGTAACCTTTGACCATTTTATGATAGCAAAACATAACACATTTAGTGGCTCTATGTTCCAATTTACTACCAGTTTAGTATACATAAGTTGCACATCCACATATTCTAATATGTACTAAGATTGAGTATTATAGTTCAGCTCGTACTGATAACTGTCGTTATTGGAGGAGACATAATGATTGGAGATTCCTTACTCGCTGTCAAAACATCCAATCATTCAAATTACATTTAGACAGGCTCATGTTAGCACCTCCTAATTCTACCAATCATATGTCATAGCGGCATTCCTTGATTAGTTCATTAATTACTGGGGGCACATGCAATACAGATTCATGATGACCTGCTGAAGCCGACCTTAGCAACCAATCAGGACAAGCCATTGGCATGAGTTCCCAACTCGATACTGTAGTTGATAAGACGGGAACGCGGCGTATACATGCTGATCATTTCTTATAAAAGGGAGGACGATATCCTCGAGAAAGGGGAGGACTGGAGATTAAAAAAAAAATCTCCTTTGAAATGAAAGAAAAACACTCGTAGCTTACTTTTGTAATCGCTAAGTCATTATCAATAAAAATCTTCATTTACATCTTAAGTTGGCTTGAATTTTGTCTATACATTCTTCGACGTCAACATATATGTAACCCTAAAATATTTATTTATATGGTACAAGAAAAAAAATAACATAATACACACACATATATAATAAAGCTACATGTACAAATTTAATTTTAACATCATATTTGATAAGATTCATAATTTTTCAACCAAATATTTAATCAAATTATATCGAAATATACTAAAAATCTAATTTTAGTCATCATCAAACAAGGGCTAAATGATAATGTTAATAAAGTGGATCTTTTATTTAGGTTGTTTTTGATGGATATAATTAAGGAAATAATGTATTTTAAATAGTGATATAATAAGAAATATGTGATTAAAAAGGAAGGAAAAGTTATTGATGTGATACAAAATATTATTTTATTTAAAAATATATGGTTAAAAATGAATTTTAAAATAATTTGCACCAACATAGGCTTACTGTTTACAAACTAATATTATCATTTCACCTTATAGCACAAGAATGGTCTCAACTTTTTACATAATATCATTAATTTTTTAATATTCACCAAGTTCAACGTCGTACTCTTTCAAATTCCAATACTTTTTAAATATGCGTCAAGTTCAACATTAGACCCTTCTAATTTCCAATACGAATGTGTCAACGGCATTGGTTGAGTTCTTTTGCGTTAATAGTCAATTAGTTGCATCGCAAAAATTCCTACATCGTTTTTTGAAATCAAATTCATACAATTGATTATAGGAGAAATAATTATTTGATAAAATGGTTTTTGTAGAATTTTATTAGGAACTCGGTGAATATTTTTCTTAGGACGTGTTCGGTACAGATTAAAATCGGATTAAAATTGAAAAATTAGTCGTCATTGTTGACTTGTATTAGATGAGTGAGATCCAATAACGATTATATTTTTAATTGAATTTTAATCACTTCCAAACATGCTCTTAGTCGAGAGGTAATATATATATATATATATAAAAAATCTAATTTTAGTCATCATCAGACAAGGGCTAAATGATAATGTTAATAAAGTGGATCTTATATTTAGGTTGTGTTTGATGGATATTATTAAGGAAATAATGTATTTTAAATAGTGATATGATGAGAAATATGTGGTTAAAAAGAAAGGAAAAGTTATTGATATGATATAAATTATTATTTTATTAAAAATACATGGTTGAAAATGAATTTTGAAATAATTTGTACCAAACAGAGGCTTACTGTTTACAGACTAAGGGAGTGTTTGACACCCATTTTATTGGGTTGAAAATTTTTGGAATAGTGATTGATGGGAGAATGTGTGGTGGAAAAGTGATGAAAAATTTTAGATTTGTGTGTAATATTTTTTTATTTGGAGAATGTGTGGTTGAAATGAAGAATGAGAATGAGAATGGGAATGAGAATGAGAAATTAAATGTTTGACACCCATTTTAATGGGTTGAAAAATTTTGGAATAGTGATTGATGGGAGAATGTGTGGTGGAAAAGTGATGAAAAGTTTTAGATTTGTGTGTAATATTATTTTATTTGGAGATTGTGTGGTTGAAATGAAAAAAGAGAATGAGAATGAGAAAAAGAATGAGTGTCAAACAGGGTATAAATATTATCATTTCACCTTATATCACTTGCTATGTCACAAGAATGATCTCAACTTTTTACATAATATCATTAATTTTTAAATATTCACCAAGTTCAACGTCGGACTCTTTCAAATTCCAATACTCTTTAAATATTGGCCAAGTTCAACATTAGACTCTTTTAATTTCCAATACGTATGTGTTAATGGCATTGGTTGAGTTCTTTTGCGATAATAGTCAATTAGTTGCATCACTAAAATTCCTACATCGTTTTTTGAAATCAAATTCATACAATTGATTATAGGAGAAATAATGATTTGATAAAATGGTTTTTGTAGAATTTTATTAGGAACTCGGTGAATATTTTTCCTAGGACGTGTTCGGTACAGATTAAAATCGGATTAAAATTGAAAAATTGACTTTTATTGTTGACTTTTATTAGACTAGTGAGATCAAATAACGATTATATTTTCAATTTTTTAATTAAATTTTAATCATTCTCAAACATGCTCTTAGTCGAGAGGTAATATATATATATATATATATATATAGAAGTAACAAAATAATAGAAGGAAAGAAAATAAGCCGAAAGGACCGGAACATGTGTAATTACATAATTAGCCTTACAGCTCACTATGTATGTCTCAATCATAATGCTTATCGTGATTTGTTTAATAAAGGAGTACAGCGACTGATCCATATGTCCCCAACCGTCATAATGCAAAGGGTAAATTAGTCATTAACTCACATATGTAGGTCAATAACTCAAAACCCTCAAATCCATCGATTCTGCCATGTGTCCTCACTGTTCCGCCAGCAAGCCCATCCAACGGTCGAGAAAGGTCCCTGAACAAACACAGAGAAAACACAAAGCCAAGAGGGAGAAGTAAAAGTCAGTGGGAATAGATCTTCAGCCAATGGATTATGAGTACACGGATCGATGACGTGGCGTACGAAATTTGATATCCCGCCTAAACCCGGACTTCAATTTTTTGTGTGATTCAATTTTTAAGCTCTTTCCTTACAAACCCCTAGCTTCTTATCTTTCCTTCACTCCCTTTCACACCTATACATACAATTTACTTGCGTATCGCACCATATAACAAAGCAAAGCATATCTCTTTGTTTTAGGGCAAATATTCTCTTTCTCTAAACGAGGCGTGTTGTTGTAACCCGGAACTCTACCGGTTCACTACCGATTCGAACGGTTCTTACTGATCTTTGACAGGTTTCGCCATGAAAGGAGCTAGATCAAAGCCTGCAACCAGGAAGGCTGACAGCAAGTACGTTTTTCTATGCTTTTCTTCAGATCTGTTTTAATTGATTTAGTAATTTTTTCGTTTAATTCTTTGACAAATGGATTGATTTTGTGTCCTACAGGCTATCTGTGAAAAAAGGTGCAGCAGCTGGGAAGAAGGCGGCACCGAAGGGGAAGCCTGCCAAGGACCCAAACAAGCCAAAGAGGCCCGCTAGTGCCTTCTTCGTTTTCATGTATGACCTCTACTCACAACGTTCCAGTCGTGAATCTCGAATCTATTTATATACTCTTCTTAATTAAATTATTTTCGATGAATAAAGGGAGGACTTCAGGAAACAGTACAAAGAGAAGCACCCCAATAACAAATCGGTGGCCGTTGTAAGTACTTTTTCATATACTCAGATGCAAAAGTACAGTTCATTTCAGATCAACTCGTTTCGATTATTTGCTGGCTGTCCAATATTAATATTCCTTTTTTTTTCAAAAAAAAATTTTATAGGTTGGAAAAGCTGGCGGTGACAAGTGGAAATCCATGTCAGAAGCCGTAAGCATATACCCTTTCGGTTTTCTTTCAGATTGAATTTATTTCAGTCTTTTATTTTAGAGAACTAATTTCGACTCATTGTTTATTAATTGAAAATTTATAGGAAAAAGCTCCCTATGTCTCCAAGGCCGAAAAAAGGAAGGTCGAATACGAAAAAACCCTCCAGGATTACAACAAAAAAATGGTAACTCTCTTATACTTGCATAATCTAAAAGACTTGTTTCATTAATTGTGTTTCATATTTTTAATTTAAAAAAAATTCCACAACAGGCTGAAGGAGCTGATGCTGAAGAAGAGGAATCTGACAAGTCGAAATCCGAAGTGAATGACGAGGACGAGGAAGGAAGCGGAGATGTATAAAATTGTTTAATTTAATTTTATTGGTTTAAAATTCTTAAATTTTATTATAAATATTTATTTGGCGAATTTCTTAAAATACAGGAAGGGGACGAAGACGATGATGACGAGTAGAGAGATGGTGGATTAATTGAAGTAGTATTTCACCATTGTTTTTACTAGTGTCTACCCTTGATAAATAGTAGCCTCTTTTTATTTTTTTAATTAATCATGGAAGTTAGGGAATGAAATTCGGCTATGTATCTGATATTTTGTCAATTATGATCCTCACTACTTTAATGATATCACCACCGTTGGTTACGATTCTTTGTTTTTTCAAGTTTCGTAATTATTTAACAATTATGTTAGTGGTATGTAGTTGGGTTACATCGTTGAAATTTGGTTGTTGATTAAATAATGTATTATTAAAATCGTAATTATGTTAAAATATTTACTAAATTTGGTTCATAGTTGGTGTGGGGATTCGCTCCGATGTAGCTTTCTTGTCGTTTTGGTCAAGATGGAGATATTTTTGACTTTCTATTTCGTGATGGCAAAAATTCCTGCCATGAAAAAATTTGGCTGTTTAATTTTGTGCGACTTTCGTTGGCTGGCACATTGTTGTCAATTATGTCATATGAGCTAGTGGAGTGGTCAAATGATTGTTCCTTGTACGGTGCAATGCCTTTTGATATTTGTTTGTATCTTGCTTTGATCTTTTTCAACGAGGGGGGTTTACCCAATCAAACAAACATTTCGGGAACGTAAATGAAATCTTGAGGTGAATTTATTCGCTCAACACCTACTCTTTGTTAATATCCTGTGTTGGAACCGAAAATGCAACTCCGAGTATGAATTCTTTTCACCTATTTTCGATTCTTCGAACTTTGTTTTCGAAAAGTATTATTTTTCAGTCTTTGATTTTCTCTCCCCCCCTCCCAAACCCGTTTCCCTCATGGATCAAGCTTGCACTTTAGCTTTCATGGCCACAGCAAGAATCCATGCTCAAATCCTAGAATAATTTAATTATAGGATTGTAACAATCAAAGAGCCTACCTTGGGTGGCTCGTTTGGGAGTTTTCTTTCCTTTATGGAAGTTATATGAGACTACTATCATCAAATGGTAAGAAGATATTTTTGACAGGTGAAAAGGCAGCAGTAAATGGCTTGTTTAGGTTAACAATGGAAAGCAATAAATTCCAAGGACATGTTGAGGAAGATGACTTGCTTTGATTTTTGGGGAAGAAGATGAAGTGGGATGGGATGGGGGTTGAAAATAAGATTTTAAAAATTTGGGATTACAGATGGCACATATAAAAAATTTGAATTTAATTTGTAAAAAAATAAAAAAATTGGGTACTGAAATTGCAATTATTTCTTTTTAATTTTGACATTTTTTTTACCCTTTTTAACTACAAATCTGACGGATTTTAACGGCAGGGGGGTTTTCACACAAAAATGTTTGAAATAGAGGGATTTTTTGCTATTTTCAATAGGTAGAGATATATCGCAAATGGAAACGTTTGCAGGAGTGTTATGCTATTAATCCATTATTCTTCAAGGTTTACCCTGGAAATTTCGGCTAAATCTATGTTTAATGAAACTTGTGTAGTTGGGAAATATCTAACAATATTGATGCTATAACACGTCTCGGTCGCAGTCTCAATCTCATTTAATAAGACATTTTATTCAATGTCATTTAGTGCTTTATAGTTTGTGAATCAGTGAAGCTGATTTAACATTATTCAGCCGTTATAATGAAGGAATTAATTTAAATAGGTTTATCACGTGAACAAGAATTTCCATCGATGTCATTCATTTTTAGTGAAAATCAATATAGATTAAAACTATGGAGAGGAGGCTGTGCAACATCCTAAATTTTGAATACTTGCCCTTGTCTCTTACATGACATTTGCGAGAGTTCAAATCTAGCAAAATATTTAACTAAGAAGATTGTGTGAGAATATATATATATACGGATTGACGCGTAGATATTCTCACATATTTATTTATTGCTCGCACAACTATCATTTTCATTACAAATATGGTGGGTAGTTGTCTTAAAAATATCATTTTCCTAATAGTTTTATACGTTATCTCTTGCCAAGTTTAAACAAGCATTAACACTTTTTGTTGTTTACTAAATGCGGGAATTGTGAGATGGTGAGGCTAAGTTGATTAGTTATCGTGAAAGTATCGTTCTCCTAATAGTGCTTTACGTAACCTCTGGCGACATTTAAGCTGACGTTATACTTCTCGATGGTTAAAATCATGAGAATTGTAAGACAACGAGGAGATCGTGAGCTCTATAGGCCATGGATTTCTCGTTCTTCCAATCACTCATTAGCCTGACGATCAGTTATGTTCATGAAAACGAGTTATCTTTATTAAGAATTGAGTTCCATTTTAAAAGATCAACTACGTTAAAAAGAGTAGTTCAAATCTTTATATGTTATTTAAAAGATGAATCGTTTAAATTTTTATATATAAATTAATAATTTTATATTTAGTCTATGTAAAGCTTTAGCCTTCACAGTGACTGTCCAACCGACTGCTTTTATTATCAAATAGGCTATAGACTTGGATCGCCAAATAATAAGTAATCTCCTTAGCAAAATATGATAAAACGTATAATTGACAAAAATATGGTTATAATTCCTATAACTAATTTGACCCCTTGAATGAATATAAAATAAAAATCTAAAATTTTGCAATTATAAACTAAAATATTAAAATAAACACACAACGAGATGTTCTAAAATATTTGGTGCAATTTCAGAATTGAAGTGTCAATAACAAGGATTGAACATGTGATGTGTCTACTCGGCTATCCTTAATTACATGCATGTAAAGAGAATAATATTTTGTCATACTCGAGATATAGAACTTGGGATTTCAAGACTTGTCTTGACATGTTACAATAATTTATATGGCGTTACAACGAATCAAAAATCCTTCTTGATTTGAGTTAATTTTAAATAAGGGTGAAACCAGATGATTCAATCTGGGTCTCTTGAGAATTGTATCATACCGATTTTCGATGAGAATTGTGAAAATAAAACTATTCAAATCTTGTTCTTTTTGCCCCATGGAACTATTGGTTCTAGTCATGTTTTGTTCAATATTTTTTCTTCAAAAATAGATTATAAAGTCTAAATTGTCACGTAATTTTTCTTTCACGGTTATATTTTGAATGATGAAACTTTCATTTTTCTGAAAGCATATGAATTTATATAAAATTCACATTTAAATGAGAAATTAGCTAGAATCGGGAACGTGGCCAGAATCTTTATGTTCTCGATTTTAAAACTCAGAATCGAGCCAAATCGAACACTTCATCCAATTCTGGTCTAGGTAAATATGAAAAAAACTTCAAATTTTTTTCCCTCGGCTTTACCCTAACCATTGAATGTAATTTGAGAATGGCTTTTGGTTTTAATGTATTTGAAAAATTGTGAAAATCGCTCTTAATGTTTTCATCAATTAATGTTTGAAATAGAGTTTACATGTCAAAATTTAATGCTTGGGATGACGGTATCAAAATTCGTTAGTTTTAAGTTAACGTGTTTCAAATTTGTTGCATTTATCGAGTTGCATCTACAAAAAGTGTTTTGATTGTTGTTAAATAATTATAATTGACACGATCGCTGCAAATTGAAGTTTGCTGACTTAGATTGAGAATTTGGTGGCCGCCATTACAATCAACTTATCACTATTATTTAAGAGCGAAGCTATAGTCTATATAGATGAAATTTTTATGTTTATTTTTTCCTTGTATTTTCTTTTATACTTTTGCAATTATTAATTTGTTTATTTTAAAGTTGAGGACAATTTGACATGCTATCGTGTACTATATTTGCTAATTTATGAATAATTAGCGATAGTAACGTAAAAAAAATGGTTTGGGACAGACGACCAAAAGTGTGCAAAGGTTGGGGATAATGGTTGCAATTTACCTCTTTATTTTGTCATACATCCACATGCCTATAACTTCTAAACATAGTTTAGGCATACTCAAAATATGAAGATCCACATTAATAAAAGTAGTTAAGGGCCTGTCTGGACGCACTTTTGGCTGCTCAGAAAATTCATTTTTTTTTACCGTTTGCACAGTTAAGTGGGACTTGGGCTCAAACAAGGCAGCCAAAATGTTGGGACTCTTTTACTGCAGAATGACATTTTCGCCCTTAACATTTAATTCAGTTGTCATGATAAATAGACATTTTTGATATTTCACGTTTAGAATTTCAAAAATTGCTGCCTTCATGAGACCCATGTTGAAGTTCCAACGGTCAATTAATTGCTGCTTTCTAGGAGAAAAGCTCTCCTAGACAGGCCCTAAATATTGCATCTTAATACCGTTAAAAATAATATAATTGTATTTAGAATATTGAGATTGGTAGTTTATTAAAATGAGAATAATTTGAGAAACCAAACTTACTCTTTATATGTCGTTTAAAAATATAAAACATTTTGTATTTAGAGAGTTTCTTAGAAATGATCTAATTTTGTTAGTTAATTTACGGATTTTTGGATGGAATCCATTTAAAAGTTCCTTGGTCCACATATTTTTGTAAGAATAATGCTTTTTGCAAGACCCTTTTTGTAAACGTTTAGAGTAGCGGTTTAAAAAGTTTGGGATTTTGCTACACTTTTGTGAAAGATTAGGGACCCAGTTGAAATTTTCCCAATATAAACATAGATAGTTGTCAACTTCTGAGGTTAAAAATTTCCGTCACCCTTTTTGACTTTTTTCCTAGGGCAAAGGCTATTTCAGATCGGGGGTTTCAATTTCAATTTTCCGTTTCAAAGGGTCTAATCGCCATGTTCGGGCACAGAGGGTAAGTTCAATAAGCCTTGTCCTTGTGGATACTTTTTTGCCTGTATTTTAATATTCTTGATAGTCAAACTTCATCGCGACGTTGGAGTTCCTCTTGTTTGATTTATTCAATTGTTATACCTTTGGGTTTGATTGCTGATTTGTTTTGTGCATGTTTCCGGATCAATTTTAGTTGCCAAAATTAAAGGGAATGATATCTAAGCGGACTTGCATCGGAATTGATATTTGAAGATTTAATATGCATTTATTTTCTGAATTCAGTATTTTCTTGTAAATGTTAATACGGTACAGATTAATGCCTCTTTCGTGACCTCAAAAAACAAGACGAATTTTATCTGTATATATTTTTGTGTTCTAGAGGATAGCATAAAATTGGCAATGTGTTTTGTTTTTCTTATTTTATACTTGAGTGAGTCCAGTTGGATGGATTTCTATTTTCTACTTGAAGTTGTTATTTTTTCACTAGTTTCTTTTCAAAAGATTTATATGTTTCTCTTTTACAAATGCGGCTAAGTTGAAAGCTGAAAATTTGTTGGGCTTAAATCCAGAAGTTCTTGAGATCAAAGCATGTAGCAATTTCTTGTTATCCAATAGCTCAAAGACATTTTACAAAACAAAAGGGTAGTTTGCAAAGAAAGTCCAGAACTTTACCCTCTAACCGGTTTAACTCATCCTGTCAATTACGACTTACGAGAAATTATACTAAGGGAGTTGGTATCCTACTAATACCTAAATAGTCATTCTACTCAAATTTAACTATAAAAATTTATTAAAAGAGAAACGAAAGAAAGAAGCAAGATAGGTGGAGGAGGAAAAAGTGAGAAAGGGGGTCCGAATGTCTTCATCATTTATTGTCTCTTAGCATCGTTTGCAAACAAAATGCAAAGGCAAGACTATGTAGATCATGGAGGATATATTTGCCTCCCTTAGAACATAACTTAACTCTAGTTAGGCATATTTCGACGAATCAGAAGAAGCAACTTCTTGTCTATGATTGCCGAGGCCTTCAGATAGAGGTGAAAATGCATGATGGAATATCGCTAATCTTTTAGCTGGCCCAAATGAGGTGATGGCGAGACATTACTGATCTCAAATGCAACCCCACATTCTCCAATTTGCATACCTGAAAAAAATGCCCTACCCTATTAAAAAGATGTAAAAGGCCTAGACTTTTTATAAATATTTTCTAGTGCAAAGCTGATAATAGATATGAAATTTTAATGCAATGTGGCTCAAGAGTCGTATATTCCCCATTACGACCTTCAGAAAAAAGATCTGGAAACCTTAAAACAACAGGAAATTTAAGCATACATATCATAGTCTTCTAGTCAGCTGAACGGCCTATAGAGCAAGCACAAGTGGGGTGAAAGATGAATAGGTTGTACTTGTACCAAAATTGAAAAGCAGAAGAACTTGAAGAAGTGGAAGCTGAGGGAGATCAAGCATGGAAAGGGACGATGACCTTAGCTCTGTGTGTTAAAATCTGATTATGATACCATGTAACCTTGGGAAGCTGACATTATGAAGTACTGTAATCGATCTCTAAAAACTAGAAGGATGTAATTCAATTGTAGAAAGGCTGAATCTGTGAGTTTTTTAATTAATTTTTCCCCTAACAAAATTTACAGACAAGTATCAGTTTAACTTGTTGGATCCTTGTTAAAGTCTAATGTACTGCTGATGAATGATTCTTCACTTCGTTTGAGTTCTAGTCCACTAAAATGGTATCTTTTATGTACCATATAAAGTGCGAAAATAAAAAGCGTATGAACTGGCTCCATGCTCAAAAAAATCTTCTGAGAGCTGCTTAATTCTATGTTACTTTGTTTAACTATGAACTATTCGTATTTAGATTGTATTCCAAGGGCTCTCTCACAAATATAGAATATGAATTATGTCCTTAGATGACTGGAGACAATTTTGTATAGCATTTTCTTCAATCATTATTTAAAATGGTGATGTGTGACACCATCGTGGTTCTGATTAGTAGACTTTTTAAACATGTAATGCTGTTCAAATAGTTGTGTTCCTTGTGCATGATATTTTAAAACTAGTTTGGGGATCTTTTAAGCAATTCATTCAGCTAAGTGACAATTTCATTTATTAGATCTGAATATGTGTTTTATCTTGATTTATCTGCACCTTGCCTTTTGTTTTACTTCCTATAATTTACTTCCATTGATGTGCTATATTATTTGTAGTTGGGTTCATAAATTTTGATAAATGCATAAGATAGGATTAAATACTAGATTTTAGGAAAAAATGGGTTGGGATTGGTTTTATTAACAAAATTGAGTGGGGGATTTTCTTTTGTTTGGGTATGGATCATTGAAGGGCGATGTTTGGGAGCGGGGGGGTTTCGGACGGGTACGAGATCGGCTCAAAGAGACCAAGAATGATGGAATCAAATCCCTACTTCGCAGTGAGCAGTGGTTCAAGTGGCTACCAACCTTATGGCCGTGGCAGTAGATATCAGCCTTCTGCCTTTCCCGTGGTTCGTCTAAGGGGTCTTCCCTTCAATTGCTCAGATACTGACGTTTTCAAGTTCTTTGCTAGCCTGGACATTGTTGACGTCTTTTTGGTAAACAAGGATGGGCGATTCTCTGGAGAAGCTTTTGTGGTCTTTGCAGGACCTATGCAGGCGGATCTTGCTCTTCAGAGAGATCGACAAAACATGGGAAGGAGATATGTAGAAGTTTTTAGGTGCAAAAAGCAGGAGTATTACCATGCTATAGCTGCTGAGGTGAATGAAGGATGTTATGGCAACATTGACCACCGTGGAACCTCACCACCAGCCCGACGGAAGAGGTCTCCGGACAAAGATAACATGGAGTATACGGAATTTTTGAAGTTGCGTGGCCTCCCTTACTCAGTCAAAAAATCAGACATTGTGAAATTTTTTGGGGACTTTAATGTGAAGGATGACAAGATCTGTATTGCATGCCGGTCTGATGGGAAAGCTACTGGAGATGCATATGTAGAGTTTGCCTCAGCTGAAGAAGCTAAGAAAGCCATGTGCAAGGACAAGATGTTGATTGGATCTCGTTACGTGGAACTCTTTCCTTCCACACCAGATGAAGCAAGAACAGCTGCATCAAGATCACGTCATTAATGAGGCGTAATTTGATGGAAGGAGTTTCTATCTAAAATTTCTTACCCACTCTTCCCAGCATGGTACAAGTCTTTTAACTCTATCTGAATCTTGCATCTATAGTATTTGCCTTTGGTGCAATCGTTCAGAGGGTGGGATTGGAAAATTGTGAACTTAATTTTCCTTCTGGAACTTCTTTTGAGGCGTCAATGTGTTGTTAAATATTATGCTGCAAGTCCTGTTTCTTGGTTTAGGAAGTGTAGTTTGACACATTCGATTTATCCAGTGTTCTTCATTTACCTTTCCTCTTATTCATATTGTTATGTGTTTGGTTAATCTGGTTCCTATTAATGATCATGAACATGTTATACTCTTTTAAGTTATTATTTACAACTCTTCGAAGGTACAAACAGTTATAGGTTGATCTTCATTATATTCTAGGAAGTGACTTGTATGAAAATTTGTTTAACTTGTATGAAAATCAAGTGTAAAAAGATGTGTAGTTGAAAGATGGGGAGAAGTTGTGACTCCCGTGGAATGTATGGTTAAAAATAATTTTTGAAAGAATGATTTCGGAAAAGTGTGTGCCAATCAAGCCTTATGAGCTATAATTTTTGACTTTGTGGAGTCAAGTATTGCTTTGAAGAAATTGACAGTTTACCATATCTCTGTTTTTAGACGTGAATTCAACATCTTCAAGGTTGATATAATTGCCAAGTTTAATATATGAATTAAGTTGAATGAACATAATGCTTGACATAGGGGTTGATCGACCCTTCATATTGCACGTGGGTCCCGACATGAATTAAAAAATGCTGACCTTCCCGATGTGTGTGTGTGGTGTCATCTCTTGGGTCAAGTATTATGTTTGTGTAGTAAAATTCTTAATATATAGAGTAATGCTACAAGCACCGAAAAGTTTCAAAATTTTTTCTTACAGGTAACAAAAGCAAACATTCATTGGACAATTGAAAAAGGCCAAAAGATAGATGACAGATGACCAATGTCACCAATCAAGTGCCGCCAGCTATACTACCTGTAGGAAACCTGTGAACGGATTGTGAAGACATGATACAGTAATGGTCGAACCTTCCTTGCCATACAGAAACGAATACGTGGGTCCACTTTTTAAAATTATATTTAAATCAGGTGGGATCACATTCATGTGACTATTCTGTACAATTTTTGGCACAAAATTTCTGTACATTCAGCATGGTTGGTAATGGTCACAGGGGTTTTTTTTTGTTGGTATAATGCACGTTATTTATAATTTCATGGTTTCATTTGATCAACCTGAAATGGATTGCATCTTAATAAGTGACATCTTGTTAATTACTTATTTATTTTTGTCTCCAAAAATATAAAAAGAAACAAAGGAAATAAGTTAAAAGACTAAATTGGACAAACGAATTACTATGATTTACAAGATCATATGACTGCACAAGCTTGAATTAGCCCTTGATTGGTGGTTATTTTTTTGAAAAAATATTATTTTAAATAGTGACTTTTTGGAGAATGTATGATTAAAATATAGGAAAAATTTTGAATTTACATGTAAAATATTTTATTGTGTGAACGTGTGGTTGAAAAT